CGTTACTTGCTTGAGGGTCGGCATGCGGGTCATGAACTGAGAACTTTCAACACCTGCAGTAGACTTGGGTGTGATAGTTGCCAGACAACCTGGCTCCCTGGCGTTAGGAGACTCCTGAGCCTCTGCTCTACCCGAGTGGCCAATTGCTTTAGTCAAAATAATCCTCAGCACCGAGTATAGGTTGGGCAGGTCATTGCACTTGATTGTAGACTGGGAGCCCCTAAACCATGATTTAAGCAGCTCGCGGCTCACACGATTACAACCTCTCGCGAAAATTTCTACCTCATAAAATTTGAATGTGTGGTAGTGCATTAATGAGTAAGCTGCAACGTGAGAATTGGCTTCATTTCTTCGCATTTCTGCCATCTGTTCAGAAATTCGTGTCTTGAGAAGCTTTTTTCGTTTCTTCCATATAACTGCTTTCTCCGTAACTGCACCAGATACTATAGACGACTCCACATACGTCTTGCAATGAGAGTGGGTCTTTTGATTTCACCATCTGAAGCCTAATGGTTGCCTCCGGTCTGTGTGCGACTCCAAGTGGTGCGAGAAGGCGGCGGACGGCTTCCGATACGTTTTGGATGTGCAGAATTGACCGCAAACATTTGTGTCGCTCGTCGCACAAGGAACATGCGATACTCGCACAAGCATAAAACACGGGCCCCGAGTTGTGGAATTCTATGAAATGGGCTTCCTTGAACCAAAACGCTAGCTGGATTAGACACTTGCCCCCCATATACAGAAAAGCATATAACGGTTAAACCACAACTTGGAAACAGTCTAACGCCTACTACCTCTGCTGTATCGGCCTCAGCGACCGCCTGAAATATAAAGGGAATTGTTGACAATTTGTACGAAGAAGGTGAAACTGCTCTTTAATGGGCTAATATATAGACAAATTGATGGAGTTGCAATGAAGAGTCCACTCGGGCCTACCTTTACAGACATTTTATGAGTAACTTAAAAGAAAAGGTGTCATCCCAACCTAATAAGGCAACAATATACAGATGATACGTGGATGATATATTTACTATTGTTGATACCAAAAAAGACGCCGAAAATGTTTTTTATTTTATCAATGAAATGCATCGGAAGATGAAATTTACGATAGAGATAGAGCAGAACAACAAGTTGTCCTTCCTAGACGTCCTCTTACTCAGAGGGGATGATGGTTCAAGAAGGCGCACTGGTTTCCACAAGACTACCTGTAAAGGCCGAGACCTACATCTTGCGAGCTTAATGCCAATAGAGTAGAAACGAAATCTGGTACTTACACTGTTCCAGAGAACTAAGAATATTTGCTCCATTGAGACCCTACCGGTAGAGAATGCCTGCATAAACGATGCCCTACTTAAGCGTGGCTACCCCTTACGTTTTATTCAAAACTACAGCAACACTTTACGGCCGAAATCTACGGACCAGTCGGTTTCGAAAAAGCCCGTTCTTATATCTTTACCCTTTAAGGGAGACAATATCCCAAATACAATTAAGTGTCAACTACGTTGTTCCATACAGAGAACGTACTATGCAGCGGAACTTGTGTTTCTCCCTCCAACTAAAAGCCTGGTAGTTAACTGGCCAAAGGAAGACTTGTTTTTGCACGCCACCCCAAACTGCGTCACTGAATTCATGTGCACTTGCGGATGCAAGTACATTGGCCGTATGCAAAGGCAATTGGCGACCAGGACTGCTGAACATTTGTTTGTTTGGCTTTTAAAATAAGAAAAGAAAGTGCCACGGTCATCCATTGCAAAACACTTGTTAGACAGTGGTCACTCCGTTGACATGAACGTATCTTTCCTGGTTCTTGTTCGAGCACAAACAAACCGTATCTTGCGCTACACGGAAGCAGCGTATATACGGCGGCAGAAACCCGACCTATGTAAGCAATTAGACGATGTGGTTAATCTTCAACTGCCCAGGTAAATGCATGCCACACTGTTATTCTTGTTAATTCCAATCCCTACTTTTCTCCCCAAGTTTAAAGATGACGTTACTATTGACCATTCGCTTTGTTTTTATTGATTTTGTGAAAACTCAAAATGCTGTGTTCTCCAATTGTTTCTTTATTCATGCAAAGAGAGAAAGCAGTTGATAAGATCGTTCTAAATTCCTTTGTACAAATAAATTCTGCTGTTTTCGCTTGCTTCCAATTTATGCCTGGGAAAAATGATTTAAATCATAACAAAAGTAAAAAAAAAACAGTTCAACACGTGATGATTTTAGGAATAAACAATACCCATCACATGACAGAAGACTTACACAACGTTTTCTGTATAAGGAGGAATAAATTAAATACGCACCTTCGCAGAAAAACATGTCGAGAACACGCAGAACGGACTCCCAGGGCAGAGTACGGGTGAATACGCACATAAACCATTCCAGCACAAGAACGATGGGTTCCACCCCCATTTTCACCTTCCAAAAATAAAACAAAATGGCATAAAAGCGTTACGCAACGGGAAACAAAAGGGTATTTCCTGATAAAGATGAACACAGCAGTTACCATAATGAGAACAACAAAAAACAGGAATGAGGAAAAAATTGGGTGGGCACTGTCATAAGTAGCCTCCCTTACTACAGGAAG